CATTTTGAGCTCCTATTATCTGCCAGGCTCTGCTCTAGGTGCTGGGATGTAGCAGCAAACAGGATGGACAAACTGGCTCCTCTTAGAGCTTCTATTCTCATGGGAAAGGGTGTGCATGTATGCACGTGCACGCACACAGAGGGGAGAGAGAGAGAGAGAAAGCCAGTTAGCGCCTCTCCGAGCTCTCTCTCCTGGCCATTGAACCCTTGGTCCCAGCGCTGGGCATGTGAGGATGAAAGGCCATGGGGAAGGCTGGGTGATGGGAGCCACAGAGGGCTTTCAACAGGGAAGGGCTTGCTCAGGCAAGGTCCTGCTGGCTGCTGAGCAGAGAGGGCCATGAGGGTCAAGGAGGCCAGAGAGGAAGAACAGGGGAGATGGAGAGAAGGGGAACTCTGAGTATGTTTTAGAATAGGGTTTGTAACAGTAGCAGCACCGACATTTGGGTGGGATGACACCTTGTTGGGGGCTGGGGGTATCCTGTGCATGGTGGGATGTTTAGCAGCACCCCTGGCCTCTACCCACTCGATGCCAATAAAACTTCCTTCTAGTTATGATAACCAAAACAGTCTCCAGACATTGCCAAGTGCCCTGTGGGTGGCTGCATGGCCTCTGGCCGAGAGCCCTGATTTAGAGTAGACCCAACAGTGCCTGCTCATGAACTCGATGGGCGTGGTGGGCATGGGACGGGGAGGCCAGTGCTGGACAGAAGGACTCGTTTTTGAGTATCCACTTTGGGTGGCACACACTGCCCCTGGAAGGGCAATTGTCCACTGCCTGGTGCTCAGGTTGTCTCTGCTGCGTCTGTGGAGCCAGGAGGACCAGCCATATTGGATACGCCTCTGAGACCTCCCTGCAGGGGTAAACTTGGGTGGAGCTACTCAGTCCCTCGGGTCACCAGCTGCCTGTGAGGATGCTGCTTGATGGCCCACTCTGCTTCATTCCGCATTGCAGCCACAATGAAATAAAATAAAAGCACACTGGCGGAAGCAGAGAGCATGCTCAATGGCCATGGTAAGCTACTCTGCTGGGCAACGTGAGGAGTAGCCACAGCTACACACATATGTGAGGTCAACCAGCCCAGAGTGAAGGTCAGGGCCAGCCCAGGGGGGCAGAGACCACATTGCTCTGAAGACCTGAACATTGTCCTTTGCTTTTCTTCAAAACAGCCTCCCCGCCAGCCCTCACATTGGCAGCTGGAAGACCCTTCACCTCCAGGAAGTTGAGTGTGGCCGCGGCATCTTACGGATGGAAAAATCCACCGAGAGGATGCTGACACTCGAGTAATCTGGCTGCGAACAAGGCCCGGAGGGAAGAGAATGCAGGGAGGCATGTGTATGGATGTAGACTGCTGGGAGGAACAGGCGGGGCTAGGCGGGTCTGGGATTAAGGGGCTATGGGAGGGAGGGTGGCAGCAGTGGGTTGAAGCCATGAGCACCAGGGGAGAGCATCCCCCAAAAGGTGAGGGAATCAGCAAAGATTGACTTCGCCAAGGCTGGATCTTGGCTTTGGTGTTTGTTATTTTATTTTTTTTTTTGAGATGGAGTCTGGCTCTGTCCCCCAGGCTGGAGTGCGGTGGCACGATCTCCGCTCACTGCAAGCCCCGCCTCCCGGGTTCACGCCATTCTCCTGCCTCAGCCTCCTGAGTAGCTGAGACTACAGGTGCCCGCCACTGCACCCGGCTAATTTTTTGTATTTTTTTAGTAGAGACAGGGGTTTCACCGTGGTCTCGATCTCCTGACCTTGTGATCCGCCTGCCTCGGCCTCCCAAAGTGCTGGGATTATAGGTGTGAGCCACCGCGCCCGGCCTAATTTTTGTTTTGTTTTGTTTTTTAAGAGACAAGGTCTCCTTCTGTCATCCAGGCTAGAGTGCAGGGGTGCAATCGTAGCTCACTGCAGCATCGACCTCCCGGCCTCAAGTGATCCTCCTGCCTTGGCCTCCCAAAGTGCCGGGATTATGGGTGTCAGCCACCATGCCCAGCCTGTTTTAATTCTTTTTGAGGACAATTCCCTCCATTGCGTTGAGTCGTTAAGTGCTGGGTATTTTTGAATGTTCCACATTTGAACATTTCCCCCAATTTTTCAACCGTGAATAAATGCAGAACGAGGCGGCTGACACTCAAAGTGGGGACGGTCCTGAAGCTGCATCCACAATGTGGCCAACAGGATGTGTGAAAAATAACTATTTCTGGAGAAAACGTCTCAAGACTTGAGCAGAATTCATTCTGGAATCGTTCCTTCCAGTAGAGAGCACCATCCAGCCTTGGATGATGTCATCAGTTGCTGGGCATCCCTTGCAGTTTGGGGCATAAGACTGTAAGCTCCGTGCAGTCAGGGACCGTGCCAGCCTCTTCTTCCCCAGGGCCTGACACAACTCCTGGCCCTATGCAGGGGCTCTGTGAACAGTGCATGAATGAATGAACGCAGGACCTGCCAGAGCACCGTCCCAGTCACCGTCTGGGCTTTGATTCAAAGCAAGACATATTTTTTAAGTAAAAAAAAAAAAAGCCACTATAAATGGAGGGTCATGCCTGAAAAACAGGTGAAGAGATGAAAGTGTTCTGCGGAGTGTGTCTGAAGTCAAATGCTATTTGTTGAACACTGGAGGAAAAATAATTGCCATACCACGAAGGGATGTAAATAAGGCCAAGTACACAAAGGAATGATCATTATCTTTATTCATACACACTTGCTTCCAAACTACAATTAATGTTTCTAACAAAGCGTATCATGCAAACGGAGATTAGAGGTTATACAAACTGAAAAAAAGCAATGCAGTAATTTATACATCCATCTCCTCTGCTATATAACCAAATGGTGTTTGACGGTTGAATGGCCTCTACATTTTGTCAGCAGGTGCTTATACAGAAGGAAAAACCTCAACCTCTGTCTCTTCCTCCAAACAAAGTTGGGGTCTTATGTGATGTTTTTCAATTAATGATTGAAACGTGGTATGTCCTTCACACACAAGAATCATGTAGCAAAAGCAATGACTTCAAATGCTTCTGTTTATAAAAGATATTCTGAAAGACCCTAACAGAAGGGATGTGAGGTTAATATTTAGAAAACCTTTAGACTCAAAATAGTAACTGTCTTCATGATTGATTTGGAATATTCCAGTAAACCAACCCTTCAATAAAAGAATTACATTCTTCCAGAAAGAATATCAACAAAAGTCTACAATCACAGGAAGGGATACTCCTAAAGTTAAGCAGAGTTGACAAAGACAGTCGTTTCATCAGAAAATGCAAAGCCGCCTTTTATCTTATTTTAGAAAAAAAGGTTCTTATAAAGTGGATTTGACACCTATTTTCTGAAAAGGAGGGTTCTGTCTACTCGCGTAAGCGATAACTATGAAACAGACGTCAATAGGCACGTTTGCTGCTGCCTCTTATATCTTGGGAGATTGAAGTATTTCTGAGTTGCCCAGTGGGCAAAATCCTTACAGGGCATCTCTGAATCTTCACCCAATGTGAGAGACCTGGGGACCGGGGGTGTCTGGGCACAGAGCCAAGGAAGCATCCTCCTCCTGCCAAAAGGTGGCTGCAGAGCCTCACGGAGCAAGGAAAGGGGTCCCAGAAATCCCCGGGAGTCCTATTCCAGGGCTGCCTCTGGATAGGGGACACTAAAAATATCTTTCCTGTGGTTTGGAAGTTTCTAAACCTTAAGCAGTTGTCCCCAGTGTCTATTAAAAACTCGCAGAGCATCAGTCTGCCAACAAGTTTCACCTGAACTTGTAGGTCATTCCCACGTGGACTCCACACCCTAGGAGCATGGGAAAATCTGGCAGTGGGAGAGCAGGTCGGGGGCGCTCCAGCTGACCCAGGCTGAGTCCTCCTACAAGCTCCAGGGGATTGGAATCTTAGGAAATCGTCAGTTGCTTTATTCTAAAAACTCATTTTTAAAGAATTATTATTAAAGTTCTCTATAAAAAAGTACAAATAGCCCAGTATATTCAGTTGCTATACTGGAATTAACAAATAATTTCTTCCTTTAGGTTAAGAAAAAGTCTTTGGAAGTTGTGGGCTTTTGTGTAGGGTCACTGTAAGGCTGTTGGATGGCTGAGTGTGACCTCCACGGTTATTAACTGTCACCTGATCACATAGATGAGGGGCATAGGGGTCAGAATCATTCGTGCTGTTGACCTTCCCGAAGAATCCCAGACACTATGGAATTAACACAATTGTGTTGACCCCATTTCTGATGGTGGCCTTCATCCATGTGTACATCAGGTAACCTTCCCAATTTTCTGGATCTTCTAACAGCAGAAACAGATAAGTTCCCTAGTCTGCTGTGTCAGCCCGAATGGGAGGAGACAGGAGTGTTGACTGTCCAGTGTATTTCACAACATGGAGCCCAAGCAGCTTAAGGAAAATGACTTTTAAAAAATATTTTGGCTGGGCATGGTGGCTCATGCCTGTAATCCCAGCACTTTGGGAGGCTGAGGTGGGCAGATCATGAGGTCAGGAGTTCAAGACCATTCTGGCCAACATGGTAAAACCCGATCTCTATTAAAAACACAAAAATTAGCTGGGTGTGGCGGCGGGCACCTGCAGTCCCAGTTACTCAGGAGGCTGAGGCAGGAGAATCGCTTGAACCTGGGAGGCGGAAGTTGCAGTGAGCTGAGATCGTGCCACTGCACTCTAGCCTGGGTGACAGAGCAAGACTCTGTCTCAAAAAACAAACAAAAAAAAAACAAACAAAAAACCAAAAATGTCCTGGCCGGGCATGGTGGCTCATGCCTGTAATCCTAGCACTTTGGGAGGCCAAGGCAGGCAGATCACCTGAGGTCAGGAGTTTAAGACCAGCCTGGTCAACGTGGCAAAATCCCATTTTTACTAAAAATACAAAGATCAGCTGGGCATGGTGGGGGCCACCTGTAATCTCAGCTACTTGGGAGGCTGAAGCAGGAGAATCGCTTGAACCCGGGAGGCAGAGGTTGCAGTGAGCCGAAATCGTGCTACCGCACTCCAGCCTGGGCAACAAGAGTAAAACTCCGTCTCAAAAAAAAAAAATAAATTTCGCAACACTCCTTGTCAAATTGGTGTGTGGCCACTAACAGAGGCCCTTGTCCTTCCTGGTGACTGTCATGCCTACTGCTGTCCTGGTAACTCTCATGATCACAGCCTTTGGGCCCCCGGCTCAGCGTCTGTTTCGTGATTACGATTGTCTGGTGTGCCCAGCAGGGGACATAGGCACTCCTACCCTTGTTGGGTTATAAAGAAAAAGGAAATGGTGTGATGTGTACACACAAGAAATAGGTGACTTCAGAAGACCAAAGTGAGAAAATGACTGTCAGATGGTATCACCTTTCTGAGGCTTCTAAAAATACAAGACTGTCACTTTTTCTCTTTTCAGTACTGAGAAAACAAAAACCAGCAAAACACAAAAACAAAAACCTCTGAAATGTCTCCTGCTAAGTGGAACCAGGTGGGAACTGCAGTGTTAGTTGTGTGGTGTTAGTTGTTAGTTGTGCAGTGTTAGTTGTTTGTATGACTTCTCCATTTATCCTCAGCTGCCATAATTCTTGGCAGGAAGCCAGAGAGGAAAATGGGCAGGAACCTACTGGCCTCTGGGGTACGCTGGATGGTCTGGCTCTGCCCAGAGACCTATGAGCTACTTCAAGGTGGGGAGGGGAAAGGGGCTTCCAGCAGCTGGTGGGGATGTTGTCAGCGTTTGGGGGGTGTTTTCTGAGGAGGAACAGACTGTGTCCCTGGCAAAACACTCTCTTGAGGGCCAGCAGACGGAAACTTCCATCTGCACCAACCACCTCCGATGGGAAGCCGTTGACAGTGGCACCCCTTCCTCTCCCTCCTACTGCAGGCATATTTCTGGATGCACCCAAACCCTGTTCTTCTCTGGCTCCTTCCTGACTGCAGCCCCCGCCTCCCTCTCTCTTCTCAGCACGTCCGTGGGGATTCTCTGGAAGTCTGCACCCTCCTTCCAGGAAGTCACCACACTCGCCCAAGGACTTTGGTTCACAGAGGTGCTCAACAATCATTTGCTGGGTTAGCCTGAATCTTGGTCTTTCCGGCCAGGCTTCCAGAGCTCTTGGCCCCATGGTTTTCTATTAAAATTCTGAATAAGAAGGTCTAATACGTGGCCTCAGAAAGGGCAGACAGTGGCTCTGCATGGACCACACGAGGCCAGGGGATGAAAGGAAGGGGAGCGCTGCTGGAGCAATCATTTTGACTCCTGTGGTTTCCGATCTGCCTTTTGAATTAGCTCTTGCCTGGATGTGGGCCTCGCATTAACCTCGGAGGGCGGCCCCCGGCAGCATTCCAGTGACTTCCTTTCAAAGCCAGCACCTGGTGACCTTCAATTGAAATGCCAAGAGACGGGCTGCCAGCCCATGGCCTGCAGCCTCAGGGAAAGGCTCTGCCACCTAGGAGTGGCCACCTTCCAAGGAAAGAATGCAGAGCCGTTTGAATGGCCTGCTGTGGTCATAGCTCCACGGGTCCCGCGGGGATTTGGACGGTGCTAGCTTCTGCCCGGTGGCCTAGACCTCCGCAGGCCCTGGCAATCAGGTCGTGCTCAGGAGCAAGGACTTCCCAAAGGGTCCCCCAGAGACCTCATGTGTGGCTGCGGCAGTTCCACAGCTCACCCCTCGCCACCATCTCATTTCACACAATGCCCACGAAGGGGCCAGTACCATAGAATATCACAAACTGATTCTGAGGCGAGCCATTGCTCATGGTTATCTACATGACAGTCCCGACAGTAACAGTCTTGGGCTGCTGAGATCTGTAAAGCCCTAACCATTACCCACATTCAACACTCAGCAATGGATAAAGCAGGTTCCACTGACAACACTGCACCGGGCCCTGATTTTGACTGTTTCCCCCCGGGGTTTGTCCTGGGGTCTGCTGTCCCTCAGGCAGTGTGCTGGGCACCCCCGTCGGGGCATTTTCTTGGAAAACTTTGCCACACGGTCTGAGAGAATAACAGCCAGCTGAGACGGTGAATGTGTTTCCTAGAGAAACAAACTTGTGGTTGATGGGGTTGCAGGGAAGGCCTGAGCCTGCTGCTTGCTTAAAACACACAGGCCGTTTGGGGTGCTGAACAAGGATCCCTAACCCCATGTGTTCCTCCATGGGACCTTCCTCCTCTCTGGGGGCCTCATGGGGATCCGTCCTGCTGCTGCTCCATTCTGGGCAGGGGGACCGGCCCTTTTGTCTCCTAGGCTCTTTCTATAAACCAGTCCCTTTCCCCTCGGATCAGAGGAGGTGCACCTGGTCAGGACACGAGCCCAGATTGTGCACTGATCCGCAGGGCCGCAAGAACAGGGGAGCCAGGCCACCCTGGAGTCTTGATGTCTATGGTGCATAAAAGATGGCAGAAGAAGTGGCTCTTTTCTGGCCGGGCCCATTCCCTACCCCGTCTCTCCTTCTACTCAGGGTTGCCAGGACCACCTGGGCCTCTCACCTCAAAAAGCCTTTCATGGTTGTATGTTCTGCGAACTTCAGGCAAACAGCCAGAGGAGAAAAATAAGGCGAGTTTAGCTGGGAGATGCTTCTGGGAGGAAACAGAGTGGCTCTCTACAAGGACCGACAGCTACTTTCACTCTCTTTCTGTTTGTGGTAGAACCTGGCTCCTCTGAGGACCTTGCATGGGGGGTGTCTCACCAAAGCAGCGTGCTCCTCCCAAGGCTGGAAAGGCCAATGCCACAATGGCTGGAAGAAAGTCCACGGCCTCTGAAAAGCAGGTGCTGGTGCCTGCAGGGCACGGCTGTGTTGGTCTCATGAAGTTTGTGCGTGCTGGAGCAAACGACAGGTCGTTGAAGAGGCAGCAAGACAGCACGCTTCCTGCGGGTCCAGTACACACAGCAAGAGGGGAGTCTCCCCATCCCTCCCACCCCTGGAGTCAGCAACAGTCGCAGGCTGAAGGGAAGAAGGAAACACACACACACGGACACACAAAGGTCAGCCCAGGTGCTGTAGCAACGCCACATGTGCACCAGTGTACTAGGCAGACCGCAATCAGACACTTCCTGTTGTGCCCAAGAGGAAGAGTGGCGGAGGAACTGGGATGAAAGGTGGCATTAAGAAACTAAGAGGGAGTGTCAGCTCAAAAATAGTCCTCACCCATAAAAATTTGTTTGCAGGTAGAATCAAATATATATATATATACACACACACACGTAGTAAGAGCCTAATCTATCATGTAAAGTAGCCATTCATTTTTGAAATTTTATCTACATTTAAAAATTAATCTATCTGATACAGTGCCCATGTGCGGGGAGGGAAAGCACAGAAGCAAGGGATTCAGCTAAAACTTAATTCGAAAAGAGGATCAGAAACAAGAACCTGCACAAATAGAGCACAATTGTGTCTTATAAAATTATTATAATACTCTCTTTATACTTGATACGATTATATCAATAATATAGATTCACTTGTTATTAAGGTTTATTATAAACATGCAAAATTCATTGCATGATGCATTTGCAAAACATATTAAAATCCTTCTAGCAATAAAACATCTTTGAGCTGTTAGGCATCCGGGTTTCCTGATTCTACAGCTCCAGGTGTACTAGAAATGGGAATCAAAACCGTATTATTTTTATCCCTAAGTGGACATCCAGGGCTGGAGAAGGGAGGAAAATCAATCAGTAGGGGCTGATGCTAGATTCAACACTTCCAGTAAGTTACTGTACATCGTACTTTCACAAACGACACTGCAGCCTATTAAATAAATAAGTACAAAAGGGGAGAGGGCGTACACTTCAGCTTCTTGAGAAGGATAACAAGGTAGGCAGCAACATATTGGTGTGTGTGGGGTGGCTGTTGGCGAACAACACTGGTGAGTAGTGGCATGATTACTGATGGCACCCTGGATTGAAAAATAATCTCTCAGAGATTAAAATGAACGTACATACACACTGGCTTATCCTTGATCTGAAATGATTTCACACGCTTGTTCAGCAACGTCCTTAGACGATTTGGCCTCTTACAAAGAATGAAAGTATCAAGACAGTTATCAGCCAAGGAGGGTGCCAGATGACAGATTCACCCAACACTCATCTCAGGTTTTTTTTGTTTAAACTGGTAACTGCTGGACTATGGTTGGGTTAGGATTTGTCAATGTTTGGGAACAGTCATTAGGTTCATCCTGGCCTTTCAGATTCTAGGGGCCATTTCCATGGAGGCAGAGAACGGACGCACAGGGTACTTTGAGGCCTCCCCCACCCCCAATCCCTCCCTGCTCACTCTCTTGGCTTCCTGCTCTTGGATTCCAAGACGTCTTGGGTGGAGATGTTTCCAGCCCCCTGGGCTGGGGTAGGCTCACTTTAACATCTCTGGTTGGGGGATTCCGATGGTGAAAAATCCACAGATGGAGGGTATGGAAAGTATATCAAATTGTACCCAAAATGGGGCAACAGTCTGTTTGCTTTCTAGTAAGGGTTAACCTAGAGGCAGACGTAACTTCTACAGAATTAAACTGGACGCTGTGCGTGACGTACCATCTTCCACTAAGATAAAAAGTTCTTGGTTGTAAGAGAGAGGCCCTGAACAGTTAATCACATTTGGACTAATAACCCTACAATTTTCAGGCCTCCATATGGAATCAGACACAAGGCCGTGGCCTTAGAATTTTAGGGTTAAGGATCACTTCCCACCGTGGGGAGGGCTGGGGGCTGGGGAGGCATTTGTTCTCGCTGGTTAGTTTCATACCGCACTCTGTAAGATGGGGTGCACAAACTGGGGGTTGACATACGAGAACCCTTCAAAATCAGACTGGTCTATGTTAGCGATAACCAGCTGATCAGGCGGCGTTAAGACGGGCTGCCCTCGTGTGAAGAACTTGTCAAAGTTTTCTGCTCCTTTGCCGCACTGTGGAGAAAAGACAGAAAGAAGGAAAGGTCAGTCCGCAGGACAACGCGCAGCAGCTCTCCGAGGGCCCTCTCCGGGGAGGGGCACGGCCCTGGGGAACCCGGGGCTGGTTAGGCAGGAGGAATCTTGGAAGACTTGCAGGCCTACTGGATTCAAAAGCCAGGCACAGCAGACAACGAGGAGTTACCCAACTGTAAATCTCGAAATACCCCGAACAGAAGCCCTGGGTGGGAATGCACGGCTGGCAATGAGGCAGCAACAAGGGGACAGCCCCGGTCCCCTCACGTCCACCTCACCGAGCAAGCGGAGCTGACAGCATGGAAGCCACGCACGCGGGGCTGTCAGTCACAGCTCCGTGGTGCAAGTTACCCCTGGACCAAGCGAGGGGGGTGAGTTACTGCCGACATCTCGTTCTTTGCCGCAATATTTGCAATGAAAAACTGTGTTATCCTTGCCTTCCTACTGGGCTGCTCTAGCAACCCCGGCCCCTAAATTAAGCTTCAAGCGATATGAGGTAGGTGTGGCGGCAAGGCTGGGAGATTTGCACCTGGCCCAGCTAGGATTTAGCACACCTAGCCACAGTTGGCCAGCGGGCAGGCTGGGCGACTGGAGCTCATTTGCAGGGTGGTCTCAGGCTGGAGGTGGTTTGCAAGGCACCCTGGGGAGGCAGGGAGAGGCCTGCTGTCTCGCCTCTTCCTCTCTTCCAGGGTCCACTGGGGTGCTCTGTGCGTGTCGAGGCTGCAGGCAGAACTGCTGCATTGGAGTCTCTGAGACACACAGCCGCTTAGGCAGCATGGCTTGGTAGCCTGACCCCAAAAGTGGGGAAGGGGTGTCTCTTCACTTTGTCAGCCACCCACAAGGGTAGTGGCGTGTTGAAGTCCCCGAAAGCCCAGGGTGATTCTGAAGCAAGAAGAGTTTCACTGAGGATCCTAAGAAAGATTTTCCAGATGTTGCCAATTATTGCCCTGGGACCTGCTGCTAGCACCACAGGGACAATATGGATTCAAGCTGAGCTAGCACACGTTTCAAACTAACTAGGCATCCTTGGGTCTCTAACAGAGAATAGCTCTGGATTAACTGTGAAGTGGGGTCCACCCAGTTTGCTCATCTGTAACACTGGGAGAATCATCACACCTCCTGCCAAGGCTGTCACGAAGGTGAAATGTATGGGTTTTCACAGAGCCCAGCAGAGGCGAGAGGCTGCGCGTGCTGCTAGTGTTTTTATAAGGCAGTTGAGTCTCATGGGCTGTGCTTTCTCGGCTCCTTTTTCACACTTTCTCTTCTAGGAGGTGTGCTTCAGAACCTTTTTTTTTTTTTGAGACAGAGTCTTGCTCTGTTGCCCAGACTAGAGTGCAGTGGCATGATCTCAGCTCACTGGAACCTCTGCCTCCTGGGTTCAAGTGATTCTCCTGCCTCAGACTCCCGAGTAGCTGGGATTACAGGCATGAGCCACCATGCCCGGCCATGAAGCTACTTTCATTACCCTTTTCCCACCTACTTTTCATCAAATAAAACCTGCTCCTAAGTACCTGTTGAGGTGGAAAGCATGTCATAAATTCAAAGTAAGGTTTTTATGACAAACAGCTTTCCTTTCTGGGTTTATTAATTTTTTTTTTCTTTTTTGAGACAGGGTCTCATTCTGTCACCCAGGCTGGTGTTAGTGGTGTGAGCATGACCCACTGCAGCCTCAACCGCCTGAGCGCAATTGTTCCTCCCACCTCAGCCTCCTGAGTAGCTGGGACTGCAGGTATGCACCACCACACCTGGCTATTTTTTGTATTGACAGGGTTTCACCATGTTGCTCAGCCTGGTCTCGAACTCCTGAGCTCAAGCAATCTGCTGGCCTTGGCCTCCCAAAGTGCTGGGATGAGCCACAGGCATGAGCCACCACGCCCAGCCTCTGGGCTTATTTCCATTTTAATAAGCGACCACCTACTCTTCACCCAAGGAGATTTCACACTGCAATGAATGGTGAGTATGTGGGTGACGTGTGTGGTGGGGCAGGGGGATGACAGGCAGGGGCTGTCTGTGTGCTTTCAAGTTACTCTGCGGAGCCATACAGACATGAGGCTTACTGTCACATCCGTCCTGCCTCTCACACGTGGGGTAGCAAAGCTTGCGCTCTCACGTCCCACGTGTCCATGGTATATTTCCTTGAAAGAGCACAAAGCACCTCAAAGCCAAGGTCAGCAGAGGCAGACTCTGCAATTCACATTACCCTATGTGTACAGGCCATTTGCAAACACCGAGAAAGGCTCTTTGAAAAATAAATAAGGGCACGCTGTTTCTTCCTAGGAATTAATCGGGAGTCTGTACTTAGTTCATCAGTTAAACAAATAGAAATCAACTTTCCTTGGAATTCCACATTCAGATGCTGCTGTGATGATGACAACAGCCAAAGAAATAGCCCTCCTCTGGATATACCAGTGGTTCTCAACCAGGGATGATTCTGCCCCCAGGGAACCCATTTTTGGCCATCATGACTCGGGCGGGATGAGCCTGGCATCTAGGAGATAGAGGCCGGGGATGGTGTGGAACATCCTACAAGGCCCAGGACACTGCCCCCGCCCCAAAGAATGATTGGCTGAAAATGTCAACAGTCCTGCTGCCGAGAAACTCTGGGACATACCAAGACTATCGTGTAAGGCTGAGTAGGTCCTAAGATCCGTGTGAGGGCAGACATGAAGCCAAAGTAGGGAATTAGGCGAAGCAGCCATATGCAAGAGTGGACAATGGAGAAGTGGCAGAAGTCCCAAGGCAAAAGCATTTGGAGCAAGTGTGACAGCTCAGTGGAGCTGGCTTTGGGAACATCCTTTTGGAACCTGATTCATCAATACTCATTGCCTGTAAGAATTCAAGTGAACCTACAATCAGGGCTCCCAGAGGCTGGGATGTGTAGTCCTTTAATAAGAGATCATCCGTGCTTCTCTTGATACTCACTAACCATGCAAAGATGAGCAAGAAGGAATTTCTGGAAAAAATATAATAAAAGGACGTGAGTCCCCAAAAGGACGAGCAAAGCAAGCCAAGGTAAAATGTTCTCTCCCTTCTTCACAGGACACATTGGATGAATTTAGGGCTGCACAGATAGACTAGACATCTAGGCTGGATGTCTGTCCTGCTCTAAATTTATCAATGTGTTCTGCAAAAAGAGTACACAGGTCTGACCCTTTCAGTCCCGTCTTTATGGCATTTACGAATCATCGTCCAATGGGACGTTTCCAAAAGCCATGGCTTTACTGCCAAGGAAAAATAAAAAGCAAACTAAAAGGAGATCTCCCAAGCTCTAAAAAGGGGACCACAGAAACCTTCCCACTGAGAAGCCTGGAGAGGGAGGCTTGAGGACATCCAATTCTAAAGCTGGTGTCCAGAGAAAGGTCACTCCTGAGGGTGCCCACTGCTTGAAAAGCTAAGTACTGTGATAAAATGGGACAAAAATCCCTTCCTGGTTAAGAGCTCGTGTTCTGCCTGTGCAGAGGTCTGCAGAGCTAAGGGGGAAGTTGTAGAGCCTGGATCAACCCAGTTGCTGCCCTGCAGTCACACTGAGTGCGGCTGTGCGGCTTCTGGTCTCAAAACTGCTCACTGCTGGAAACACCTTCCTCTTCTTTCTCACTGTAAATCTCTCTGGAATTTTCCTTGAACTCAAAGAGGGAGAAATCTCACTTTAACAAATGAAAGCTGTTCTTAAATTGGTTCTCTTCAGTGGAGAGACAAGAGGCAGGCACAGGCCAAGGGCGAAGAGTAGAAACTAAACCACTGAAGTTCAGCCACATCAACCACGGGACAGAAACGAGCTGTGGGTGGATCTTAGCAAGCAGGGGAAGAAAGCCTGGAAGGGCTGCAGGATGACCTGAAGGTTAGATCAGCTCCGAGACTCAAGAAGTTTTTATTCTTAGGGAGATCAAGCCACAAAGAAGTCTCCTTCGCCCCACCAAGAGCCAGGGGGCAGCACAGCTATTTCTACTGCAGACTCGGCGTGGTGAGAAATACCGTTTCCTTTTCCACCACAGAAGGTCTGCCAGTGTATTATAAATGAGCCTTCCACAGCTCTTAGCAAAAGTAGCCCTGGAAATAGACAATCTACTCTCAGTCAAATTGGAGAAGATCTTGAACTACTCGTTTTCCAAGATGTTAATGTGGAAAACCACCCCCATCACCATCACCACCACTACCACCACTACCACCTCCTACTGAAAAAGATAATGAAAACCAGAGATTTCTGGATCCTTGGAGAAAGGAAAAGCAGTAGATTCAAGAAGCTACTGCATTCCTAATATGGAAGAGATTCTTTCTATTATCAATGTTCTAACCTTACTCATCACCATGAGCCTGATAGGCAATGGCCTCAGGTGCCATCTTGGAGCTGAGCAGTGAGCAAGAAAAGGCAAAGAGGCTAAAGGGCTGAGGGGCACCAAGCATGACTGCACAAACACCAAGTGAATGAGTACAAGATGACTGCAGGCAGCCTCCCGCCACTCCTCAGGGATGAGGCAGGCAGGTAATCACTACCGCCATTGGAAGGGCAGCCTCTACAGCAGTCTGTGACAGCAGGCAGGTGTGGTTGTCCATGGCCTCAGAGCTCTAGACCACCCAACAGCCGCTAAAAGTAACATTTATACCTTGTGAGCGAAACTGGGCTGGGTGTGCACTATCTCCACCTCCAAAGGTAACCCGCGTCTTTCCCCGACTGAGGCTTTTGCCCTCTGGGATGTGATGGGTACCACACGATGGGTATGGGACAGAGATAAAGGGGAAGAGGACATCAGGGGGTGGTCAGACCCAACCAGTCAGCGTGTGACTCTTGAACTCCCTGAGACCAGGCGATGTTGACACCCAAGGGAAAGTGGGGACACAGAGGGGAGAAGGATGTGGCCAGAGATCAAGAGCCCCAATGTATAGCTTTGGCAAACTCAATGCATCTCTCTGTGAAGGTAAGATGCGGATGTGACCATCCACCTTCCCAGGCTATTGTGAGGATCCAGGGAACTAACGGGCCCTTC